CTCTCGCTCTGTCCGTCCCCCCACCCCCCCCCCCTCCCCCGGTCCCAGCCCTGTGAGCGAGCCCGGCCGCACGGAGAGCTCGGGCTTTCCACCGATCTGCCCGCGCGTCCAATCGGCCCTCCGGCCATACTCAAGCTCACCGGTCGATCCTGTGGAGCCCTGGATCAATGCCGCCCCGGGGAACAATGTATGCACAAGATTCCCCCTCACGGAGATCTCCCAGTTGCGCCTGGGTAGCTCTACCCGCGAGAACAAGTGCAACACAGCCGCCGGGCCCGGGCGCTGGCGCACGCCGCCTCTGGCCACCTTCACGCTCCGGCACACACTCGGCCGCGCGGCTCCCCGTATCGGACCCGGCCTGCGGTGACAAGCGCACACACACAGACGCACACAGACACATGCCCCTGGCCAAGAGGAAGTGCCACACGGGGGCCCAGAGCCGGGAGGAGATTAACTCTCGGGAAGTCTGGCTTGACCCCCGCCTCGGTTCCCCGGAGGTCGGCCCACCCTCCCCTGGCCCAGATGCGAAGCCAGGCGCGCAGGGAGAAAGGGCAACGAAGCACACCGGGGCAGGTCAGCAGAGGGGCGGTGGGGCGGGGCAAGGGAGAAAGAAGCGGCGCGCATTGGCCATCCGGCGGAGCGGGGCGCACGACGATGCGGCCGGGGGAAATTGCCCACGCGGAGCCTCGCCCAACCCGGAGGGCAGCGCCCGAGGACGAGAAGAAGCACTCGGCCGCCCGGGGCACATGGGCAGCGGAGAGGCCCGGCCCGCTGCCGGCGCCGGGCAACGGCCGACGACCGGGGGGGAGGGGGGAGGGTGCGGAACGCGCGAAAAGCCGGAACGCAACACAAGCACGACTGGCTGGGCGATGGTTCCCACCCGCATGACCCGCTCGATCGGCTTTCTCCCACGGTGAAACACCCCTCACCGCGCGCGCGGGGCCGGCGAGGCCCCCAGTTGGAATACCCCCCACACCCGGCCCCACTCTCGGCGGGCTGCTCGCGAGTAACACCGGGCACCGGCCCTCGGTGGCCTGAGCGCGGGCGCATGCCCGTGGGCCGGCCAAGCGCTCGCCGCCCCCATCCGGCGAGTCAGGCCGGAGCATGCAACACTCTAGCCAAGGGCTCAGTTCGCCCCAGCATGCCGGTCTGGTCAGACGCCGGGGCCGGGGACGGGGGGAGGGGCCACGCGAGCCGCCCGATCTAGACCCTTTCGGTCTACCTCGATGGACGCCAAGGACCCGGCCGCATGCCGGTGCTGCGCACCCGCGCCACACGACTGGGCCCCGGCCGATCTCGCGGCATTGGGCGGCCACGGCGACAGCAGGTTCCCTGAGGAGGCCGTGTTCCGTGCCTTTCCCCGCCCACAGCCCCCCCCCCCCGGCACCCACCGCTCCTTCGCCCTGTCTCCGGCGCCCTGTCCCCTTCGCCCCCCCCCCCCCCCCCGGGGTGGGGTGGGGGAGGGGAACACAAGAAAAGGAACAACCGTGACCGAGGAGGGCTGCGCCACAACAACGCCGATGCACCCTTCGAATGGGGCCAGGCCCAGGGGACCGGAGGGGGGGGGGGCGAGAGAGGGCAGGCCCCAGCAATGGGGTGCCCCATACCAGCGCCGCAGCCGTCCGGGGACCGCCTAAAATGGGGGCACGGGGGCGGAAAGGGGCGCACGGAAGACCAACACTCCTGGGGGCCGCCCGTCCGGACAAACACGCCGCCCGCGCGAGCCGAACCCCGCCCCAAGGGGGAGAGACACCGGCGCGCGTGTACGCCCTCCTCCAAATGTGTACCATAGCGAATGCGCGCATCTCTTTTTCCGGCAGGAGGGATGGCCTGATGTTCTCTCGCCCGGGCGCAGATGTGGGCCCCCCGTTCTCCTCATCTCGGCGCGCCCTGGTGCGAGAACCGCCGCAAGTGGCGTGGTTAGATGCCTCCCGGGCACGCGTCGAGGGATTTCGCCCGCCCGCGCCACAGGCCCCAAGGATATTTTGAGGCATTATTAAATATGCCTCGCCCGCGGCTCCGGCCGTCCCCTCCCACGCCGAACGAAAGAACCCCCCAAAGGCCGAGGATGGCGAGACAAAGAGTGTCCCGCCCCCGCTCTCAGGAGGGAGAGAAGGGGCAGGGGCTGGCACTTCCGACTAACTCGCCTTGAGGAGCCCCTCTTTGCTCTCGCTCACTCCCCCCGCCCACGCCCCCGCGCCCTTGTGGCGATCCCCCGCCCCGACGCCCGGGGTGTGAGGAATGGATCGGCCCTCCGGGCCGGCGGCCCGGGGTTGCGGGTATAAAAATGATATGATTTTTCGTCAAATCGGTTACACTTTTTCACATCAGGCAATCCGCGCGCCTTGTTGGCACCCCCCCCCCCCGCCCTGCGCCCCGCCCGTTCCCTCGGCCCCGAGGTGCC